GCATTGAGTTGCATACCCTTGATCTCTTCTCAGCCTCCCTTGTAGAACTCAACTCAACTCAGCTCATTCAAAGTCAAAGTTACTTTGCGACTGACGGTTTAACGCCAATCAGTTCGTCTTGGCACCAAGCTCCTTGAAACTGACGACTAGAATTTTTTTCAACTCAACCCTTGTAGTCATAATCCATATGTAAGATCCTCTCATAGAAGATGGTGTGTCTCTTATGAATATGTTTGGCCGTTCATCAAGTGTACGTACCGCACATGTGACACGTTATTAAAAATTCTTGCATTTGCACTATACACAAGTCCTCTGTCAATACAGGCTTTGGAAAGCAGATCATGCCTATCTTATGCTACAACGGCAGTTTAGTCACTTGAACGGTCGTAAGCTTGACCACCGACAAGTTTAAGCCAGAATCAGAGTGACAGTCACTGTTACTTTACGACTGGCTGTTTACCACCAATCAGTTCTTTTCGGCGCCAAGCCCCTTGAGAGCCACGATCAGTATTGTTCTTCAAAACACTTGCGGTTATAGTCCTTATTCCTCTTTTACGAGAGGGTGTGTCTCGTTTACAATTGCTGCTGGTCTCGTCAACGCAGTCATTCTCAGGTCCGAGTCCCGCGGGACTCGTGACCATATTTTACTGTCTCAGATTCGAGACTCTCCAAACCTGGAGGACCAGGTCCCCGTATTTATATCCACCAGGAACAGAGTGGCCCAGTTATCCCCCCAGGCACTGGGTTCCCTTTTCGTCGCCTCCTACGACTCGCAGAGCTACGGTGGAGGTATTTGAACCCGCCTCCACACGGGGTCTAAGCCGCTTATATTGACCTGGTTATAACTTCTCGGCACGGACCACATACAAAACACCGTTCTTATTTTGTTGCGATCGTGTCCGTTGCCGCGGGAACGTGTTTATCGAGCTGTTGACCAGAAACGGGCTGCATAACCCAGTTTATTAAGAATCTGCTGCCCTAGCAACGGGCAATGTTTCGCGACCGTTACCCAGCAACGTGTCTACACGTTATAATACTATGGCAGGAATGTAGTAACACTGCACGAGCTGAGGCATAAGACTGAATCTGCCTCTATCAGCATTTCACCAGCAACATGTATACAGACCTGTATGTTTCTGAGACCATGTTCCACATGTACTGTCAAAGCAATAAACGTGCATGTTCAGTACATCTGCCATCATAAAATGGATCTCAAATACTGGTACTAAATCCCTGGAATCTTCAGTGAAAGGCAAAAACCAAAGTTATTACAAAAATGTTGTCACAGTTAGGTTTTAGCCCAGATTTCATCAGCATTTCTATTATAATTAAACTGCTAAACTGTTCAGCTGCCGGTCACGGTGGCCGAGCGGTCTAACGCGTGTACTGTCTTCGCTCGCTTGAAAACCGGGATCGTGGGTTCGAATCCCACTCAGGGCATGGATGTTTAGTTTGTGTGTGTGCGCTTTTCTGTGTTTGTGTACAGGTAGAGGCCTTGCGACAAGCTGATCACCCGCCAAAGGAGTCCTACCGAATGTGTAAGATCTATAAAAACCGAAGTGAACGGAGAAGTTCATGGAGGTAGGCCTAGGCCCACTGGGGCTGTAGTGCCAAGGAAAAAAAACACTTTCAGCTAATTTTCATCATCAAAGAAATTAGATACGTCAACCCTTCAGAATAGCTGCCAGTCACTGTTCACAGGATTCATTTACAAGGACTTGATGCAAAATTCTCATTCTGATGCAATTCCCATGACTTCAGGAACCTAGAAATGATATGTAAACCGGGAATAACCTCTGCTATTTTAACACTTATAAAGAGGATAAAGCTATTCCTGTAACAAGGTAGTGGAGGCCCATAGGGTTGAGATGTTGAGGCCCCCACATCTTCCAAACTGCAGTGCTTATAAAGAGGATAAAGCTATTCCTGTAACAAGGTAGTGGAGGCCCCCACATCTTCCAAACAATCAGCTCACAAAATGCAGTGCTGTTGTCAGCCTTACACGCCGGCCGCCCTTTACCTCCAGGAAGATTCCTGGTACTCATGTCTGTTACAGGCTGAGTTGAAACCGGGGCCATAGTGCGGCTTGAAGGATTAGGTCAACTGAAAATCCAGTGACCTCATTGCGAAATGAAGTTGCGACCTTCTGCCTTGTAGCATAGTGCCTCAACCAACTATGATACAGTAAAGTACAGTAAAGCTATACCTGTAACCGTGAAGGCCCATAGGGTTGTGAGACGTTAAGGGTCCCACATTATTATACAGTGTCTCCCCCTTATAAAGAGAAAAATGGAATAATATTCTTCTACCAAGATACTGATCACCTAGGACAGTACTCCAGCATCTGAAAAGTGAAATTTCATTCAGTAGTGACCCTTCTTCTACTTTCTGTTCTTACCACCATACATAAGCCCTATTTTTTATTAATATTTTCTATTTATTTGATAAATTGTATCCTAAATGTAAACTGCTTGAGTGAAATATGATACAAAAATGTAACATATACATGCAACAGCAGTTGCATATACAAGCCATGCTTTACTTAAATAAAGTAAAGTTGTCCTTGTGTTTAATTAAGTACTATGCTGTGAAGATTTATGGAGGAGTGTATGTATAGCTTCACAAATCTTGAACTCAGCCCAAGGTGGACGTGGGTGGTCAGCTTCATTCCCCATTCTGGACAATGTGGAGTAGAGAAAATATTTTGCCCCTGCCAGGAATCAAATGCTGACTGTTCAACTCGTAGTCCAGGCATCCTGGCTGTCGTTATTTAGATAATACAGATATATTATAATGCCCAGTAGTGTTTATGTACAGTAACAGCACCAATATGCCTAAAAATAACAACCTTAATAAAACACAGTCCTCATTAAAAACTGAAAGTTGCTCAGCTGGTCAAGACATTCGCTATCTTCTACAGAACCCAAATGTTATTACAGTCTTCACAAGAGCCAGCTACTACATCCTATCCCAAGCCAGTTGAACCTAGTCCAAATCATCACACCCTCCTTATTTAAGATCCATTACAAATATCCTCCCATTTATTCCTTGACTTCCCAAGTGTTCAGGCTTTTTGGCTAAAATTCTAAATAATTCCTAATGTCTCCCAGGTATGAATACAAACCTAACCATCTCATCTTGATTTGACCACCCTAATTAAATTTTAATGAAAAAGTACAAATCCTGAAGCTACTAACCATGTAGTTTTCTCCATATTGTCATTTTCTCTCCCTTACATCTAAATATTTTCCTCAGCTCACGGTTCTCCTATACCTTCAACCCATGTTATTCCTCTCATATAAGAGACATTTCACATCCATTCAAAATAAACAGATAAAAATGTGGTTCTCTGTATGATTTTAGACATGCCCCCTCCAAGGCATTGATTAAGGACAAAGACTCAGCATCCAAATGATAATGAGAACTCTCCACATTTATCTGCTCTTAACTTCTTTGTGTATACAATTTTGATTTGAGTGGAGCCATTCAGCACGAACAGACCTTGGCAATAGATGGGAGTGATTATTTCACATCCTCAACTGCTTAACTCCTGGGAAAAGATCACCCAGTACCCATTGGATAGGAGGCTAGGTGGGCCCAAGCCACTCTGGATGCTGCAGATAAGAGAGAAATCTCTTACCCTTCCCAGGAATCGAACCCCAGCTGTCCATCCCATTACTGTATTGACTGGGCAATCCCCTTGGTAAAATTAAAAAGGTATTTCAGTTACACATGACTTCTATCATCTGTCTTGGTGTATGCACTCGCTCCGCTGTGTAAATTGAGTGGACACCTGGTTTAGCCATAGTGGTTTAACAGAATTTTGAAATGTGATTGGAACTGGTCATGTAGTCGGACTTCCATTACTAGAACTTGGAAGAAGACATAACTAATTAATGGCTTTTATAGTTCTTTTTTAAAATGCATCAAACAACTATGATATATGAATTATGTAAGCAATTGGCGGTACTAAATAGCTACTATAGTAATAATTCATTAACTTGAGGCAAGACAGTTTACTGTGAACAGAAAATGTATCCTTAACATCATCTTTTTCTTCCTTTGATGCCAGTTTTATGTGGGCCATCTGGCAATCAAGTTTCTTCATTGATTCCCCCCAAAGCTAGCTTTTTTGCTCCTCAATATCCTCACATTTTCCCTTCCATGTGACATTTTTTCTTAACTCACTGTTCACATCTTCATCTCTCTCTTCCTTATTCTATCAAACCGTCTTGATTTACCACTTTTCTTGCATATCTTACACAAATTATCTCTCTTGGGTCACTGTCATTACTACAAATACACAGGTTTTGTAGGCATTATAAGGAAGCTGCAAAATCCAAAATACAAAAATAAAAAAGATTATTGTAATATGCAGTTTGTTTTAAAAGTAACTATCAAATTTTCTATATAAATATTTCACTACTTCAAATTTCTGAAAGTATGCAAGATATGAGTAAGCAGTGGCACAAGTTATGCAAGAAAATTGGCATTACCACCATGACTGGAAAACACTTTCCCTTATATTAAAAAGTCTGGATACCATAAATAATATATCTTGATTTACTTCAGCAATCATACTTTACAGGGTTGGATCAACATGTAATCAGTTTTGTTACACAAAAACATTATTCTTAATTACAGCTATTACAAGCATATTAACAAGTGTTCTTTTTAAAAAATGCATAAAGAAGTATATACATATATTACAAAATGAAGACACAATTTCGCAATGCCTTCTATGTGAAACAAGTGACAATTATTGCTTACTCTACCCAAACTGCCAGCACAACTTACTGGCAATGCCTATGTTGGAAAACATCCACTGCTCCGTAAACAAGGTTAACCAAAATAAAACAATCTGCATTCTTCTTTGTATTAGTATGATACTGTTTGTCCTTTTAAAAATATAAAATCTGTACAATGAACAGGTAAAGGTACAATAGAAGCCACTCCCAAAACACTGTACTAGATTTTAAAAGGCTATAGCAGTTTTACTTACATATAAATTCAGGTTATTGCTACGCCATATTCTTCCACTGACCAGCTGAGTGAACCATTCTACACTGAACACTAACAAAATAAATATTACATCATTGTCTAGAGATTTGTATACCAGTGACAAATTCAATTTTAAACCAACGTAGAAGTATTCAGAATGCAACCACTGGCCACGTCACTGCTACCACCCCGTCAACCAACAATGATAACTGCTCACATCAGTGTCCTTCCAATTACAGAAACACTGAAGGAAGGATTCAGATAAAAACACAGTAAACTGTATAATGATCTATCTATTCATATTAGATAAGAATAGGATATTAAAACATATTGAGCAACACGAAACCTTTGTCGATAAGGTGTCTTCGAGTAGATTAAAGTTATTATTATTATTACCATTATAATCATAATAAACATAAATATGTACGTTCGTATTAACATTTGGCAGATAAACCATCTCAGAGATGTGTAGCAATACATAATATATACATATGATACAGGGCAACTGTACTGAGTTATTCCAATTCTTCACCGGCTATCAGATCTGTTGGTCAGGAGAATGAGTTGTTTACAATCCTTATTTAATTTATATTTGGTTAGGACATAGCCAAATGCAATAAACTGAATTACTATAAGGTTAACTTTCAGAATCATTTCTAAGAATCTGAATTTAGGAAAATATATCTAAAGAAATCACACAGTATTAGTCACCTGTTTATTGTCTTTCCACTTTCATGAAGGAAAAATTGCATATGCTGGCCTAATACCTGAATCTGTCATACTCAATCCTGTCCTAAGCAATACCTGGGAGTACAAAGTCACCTCTTTAATTCCTATAAAGAGCAATAAAGGCACTTGAGTCATCATTACATAAAATATTTCCACAAATTCAGATGAGTAAAAATTCAGGGAAGCAAAACGGTTAATACACGACCATCAATTTGTTCCAAAAATTAAGACGTAACACCCCATCATGGTCCTGCATGAACTTTGTTTAAAGCACATTCAGTAAACAATATCTATGCTCTCTTCCATTTATTTTATGATAATTTCTGCACTTCAACACCTGAACCGTTCAATGATATTTACAGTTTGGCTTTGTGTATAAAAATTTCTGTATTTACCATGAAATCTAAGATTCTTTCCTGATTCAGAATATTAAAAACTGAGGGTCACTTTGAACTTTGTGTATTAAGAAAGTTTTTTTTTTTAACCAGAAGCTTCATAATTTGTGATCTTCACCAAATATAATCAAAATGAAGTCTAGGAGGATTGCTAAGATGAAGAAACAAGAAATGCTCACGGAGAATGGTATTAGGATAGAAAATATGCAATAGTTGTTCAGCTGGACCATGTGCATGTGCCATCACTACAGTGCAATGCATGGCCAATACAGGTTAAGAATGGCAGTCAAAGCAGATCAGTGAATACTGGAAGACACTTCAAAATGTTTCATGTAAATATCCCTTTTTCAATTTTAACTGTTTTTCATATATATAATTTAAAGTAATATTATTAAGATTACTGGTATTCCATGTATATATTTTACTATATACTGATATGTTTTAGTTGTATGGAACATTTTGAATTAAAAAAAAAACAGTATGTTAGAAAGTGCCCTTACTACACAAAATAGTTGCATTATCTTATGTGATAAACCCATTATTTACCATGCAAGATCCTATCATTCTCTCAATTTGGAAATAAAACCTTGTGGAGTATAGTACTAGAATTAATCCTATGGAAATAAAATAAAAAGTTTTTACTCATGACAGCGGATTATATTCCAATGCTTGAAATGTTTAAAAAAAATACTTCTGGTTTTTATAAAACACATCTTTTTCCCCTCCAAGGACCAAAATCCCACATGATGCTCTAAGCAACTTGCAGTGACTTACGATCTCATCCTGCATAAAAATACATGCACATGTAAACAGTGCCTTTCAATATGGTGCAAGGACAATAAGGTAATAGAATTTGTCACATCCTGCACAGCTACTATGTAATGCATGAAAATTGATCTGTATTCACACTACACATGTATTCTTACTTGTGTCAGGAATTGAAAATCAACTACATTATTGATCAGAACTGTCTTCTGGGTTGAAACACCAAGTCCTATGGGAAATGCCTGATGTTTTGGAGGATCATATTTTTAAACCTGAAGATGGTGGTGGTATGTTCGTCCAAACTATCATGCTTTCTTCACAAGAGGAATAAGGCTTATTTTTCAACCATGAAGATGGAGGTGTATGTTTCTCCAAAAACACCATCCGTTCACAGTACAAAGAAATTACAATCCACAATACCATACCCTTCAAGAGTTAATGGCATAACAACCTCAGATCCAACTATTACTCTTTCATAAAAGTGTAGGAAAAATTCACAAGAGCCACCTGTTTCTTAAATTTTATTGTTACCCTTAAATGATGCCGAATTACATAAAATGAGGCACTGAAATTCCTGCATACCAGTTCAATAATCCCTTCAGAGTTTCATTTCTTAAATTTCTCTACACGCACAACATATAAAAACTATAACAGTCATCAAAACGTTTCACCGATTTTAAGATTGTTTCATTGTACTGAGTATCTTAAATCTGAGTGATGGACGGAAAAATTATCCTATACATCATTCAGGGATTAGCTTCAATATATATAATTCCCAACACAGCACCAACAAAGAATACAGTCTGCCAATTTTCTATTCATAACAGGTCAGTTACTGTGGGCCTGCTTCGTTTCTATAAATCATTCGGTGGGGTTCAATTTGCATGTCCAGTCTAATACTATCCCTTCTATTTCTTATACTTTAATTTCACAAAAGAATTCAGAAAGCCAATAAGCATTTCTTTAATCCCCAGTTCACCGTATCTTGTCAGGAATAATATTAACACAGTATTAAAACATGCACCATTTATGGCACACAAACATTAAAATAAACTGACAAGAACATCTCTACCATGTTGATACACGAGTTCCTTCTCCACCTAAAATTTTCTCATGTGGCAATGAACTTCTGGCAACAAGATATAAATAAACCACCCCCATGAAACAGTGGATGGATATCTGGCAGCAAGTGAAAATCTTTGCCATAATCAAAATCAGCATTTTCCTGTCACACACGACACACTTTCACAGCTCTGACACACAAAACTACCTAGCACCCTACCAACGCTGTAGTGATACTTCCTTCCGTTCATACTTCAACCCCTAGCACTCTATCTACAACATAGTGATACCTCTGTGTTGCTTCGCTGTTCCTGTCAAGACATTCACTCCCCTCTGCCTCCCTACTGTCTGATCCCATGTTTCCTTGTTTGTCTGCCACCTCTACATTTACCCTGATAACACTGCCACAATCCCCAGAGTCCGTAGTAATCGAGAGATAGGATGATGGGCACGGAGTCAGCCCCTCATCCTCTTCCTCCTCCATGTCCTCCTCATCACCACAATGTAGACTCTCGCCACGCTTTAATGTGCTGCATTCTGAACTTGCTCCATCTTCTGTTGCTGAAGTGGATGGTAAAACTGGCACAGTCATGTTTACTCGCGTGAAGAATGCCATTTTCTCTCTGAAATGAGGATACACACTCACATTCTACTTGGCACTTTAGTCAGTGTATACTGACGTAACACCATCTTCAGTATATTAATATTTATTCTGCTGATGCAAGGATTCTCAATTCCTGAAGAAATACTTTCATGCCCATGTAAGGTACAAGGCGGCATAGCACATTTAAATAAAATGTTTGAGATACTATTCTAATTACTGCAATGAAGTTAAATCGCTGTAACTGACAAAACTAAAAACTTACTTGAATGATATAACATCTGGCTTTCCTTTCCCAGCTTTGCTTTTCCGCAATTTATAAATCTCTTTTGATGTCTTCTTTAGCATTTTCTCTACCTTACGGTCATCGGGGTTCTTCCCATTCCTTCCACTTTCAGCCTAGCAACAGATTAAATGTCATATTAAAGGGTTGGAGATTAAAGCTCACCAAGCAAGGGCATCAGTAATTATTAGTTGATTAGAGGAAACACAGCACAAAAAATGAAGATTACAAGAAATTCTTATGTAAGATTTGAAGCTTTTGCAGTGAATAAATGCGCTGCAATCTTCTCAGGCAATGAGCCATGTTAATGTCAAGTTAAATACCATGTTTAACTCAACATTCAAACACATAATCACCCATATTTTAGCACATACAAAATTTTGTTCATCTTTGCTCTGACCCCATTGTTTCCTGCCTCTCTGTTTAAGTTAAGCCTACGATGAGACCCCACCACATGGAAGGATATGTCGAGGATTATGATGCTGATGATTTAAATTCTGGGCTCACCTGAGCAACAAGATTCTGGAACTGCTGATCTTCAAGTACCCAGGCTGCTAGCTCCTGATCACCCTGGGCTCGTGCAGTCTCCAGCCGAGACTTCAATTCACGAAGTCTAGCCAGTTCGTCCTGGAGCGTCTGAAGGCGAGTGTGCTGTGCTTGCAAATCCAGCTCCAAGTCCAGAGATGTTCGAGCAGTACAACTTGAGTGATGACTAAAACAACAGCAGTACTTCAATATGTGCTGTACATCTGAATGACAAAAACTGTTTTCCTTGCACGAAGTGCATTTGTTTCATAGTCATCACACAATAATAATAAAAGTATACTAATTTTCTGACAACAAATGTTGAAACATTTTCTTCTATAGTTCCATCAAAAAACTTACTATTGGAATACAATATATATGAGGTAGTCTAGCACAGAAGATCCACATTTCAATTCGAATAATTTGTCTACATTCTCCCCTCAATCTCATTCTGAACTTTAAAAAAAAATCATTCTCACACGTCTACAATTTATATAGAACCCTGTAGTCAATGAAATACAGTTTTACTTTGTATCACTATTTCTAACAGAAGCAACATACCTGCATGTCGCACCACTGCTTGCGCTGCGATGATGTTTAGTTATCAGAAGTGTACCAGGAGGACGTCGCCATCTCAAGGACCGACGTTCGATGGAGTTGCGCTGAAATGGCCCACCACGCCGGTACAATGGCATAGAACTGTCACTGTCACTCCGATTTAACTGGAAACCAAACGTTCATTCAATTTTCACAACTAGAACAAGATGTACATTTTTCAAGCCACTAGTTTGCATGTAATTGGTGATTTATGCACATCATCCATTAAAGCATGGAGATAAAAAGTTGTCCCTGTGCTTAATTAAGCATCATGCCATGAACACAGATGGGAGAGTGAAGCTATGGCTCCCCACATTCTTAACTCTGGCACCAGATGGAATGTGTGGTCAGCTTCATGCTTCACCTGCTGGACGGACTACAGACACCCAGCCTGAACTCTGTGAAGGGAGACACTATCACTAAACCTGGCAGCAAGGAAGGCAAGGATCGTTTGTACTCCTCACCAAATACTTTCAAGGCATTTAAATCATGAACAATGAGTATGACCTGCACGTTCACGATATATAATTAAAATCTGTAGCTTAGGAGAGACTGGGGCAAATGGGAAATTAAGATGTTAATTGAACTCAGCTGGCTCATACAGAGTGCAATGCGTGGTTTTGTGACCACAGTGAAGAACAAGCACGTCCTGAAACACCTGAATAAGTACCCACTGTTCCAGGAAGAAGTATCATGCAGTTACAGAACATGAGACACCCCCTTCCATCATCAAGGAGAAAGCAACCAATAAAAGACTTGAAGAAAGCATTCTTCTGAGATGTGGCACCAGCCTACATTGTGTCTAATCCAGATAACAGCAACCATTACAGTTACAACTGCAAGAATCTCACAGCTCATAACTACAGGTAGAATTTGTGGATGAGAGAAATGTGAGAATTAGTGGCTTACCCTGCAGATGTACTGATTCTTGCTAACAGCAGCACTAGGACTAAAGGTCTGAGAGCGTTTAATGACAATTGCCCTGGCAGGCTCCCCTCCACTGCCACGCTTCCTCACACCCTTCTCTGGAATGAACACACACTCTGTGTTGGTCTCCTTATCCAGTGTATCCACTGGGAACTCTACCAGGGAATCTGACATTACAGCAGTGTCCTCCTGCAAACACAAAATTCATCTTGTTAACCTACTGTACAGCACAATAAAATCCTGAAGAGCTTATGTCTAACTGTTTGCTCACATTTCATCTTCCACATAACTTGAGAGATTTGGATGGTGTTCTGTAACAGAGGCACGTGATGTTAAATTCACACTGGTCCATTAATACACCCAGCCAACATATGAATACACCAAATTTTATTTCAATATGGGCAATCAGAACTATTTCAAATGTACCTTGCAGAACTGCATACAAGATATTCTTACATCAAAAATATGTAAACAAAAATAAATGTATACACTTTAACCATTTTAGAATCTGCATTTGGGTATGGTATGGATCTCTTATGATGATGATGATGATGCTTGCTGTTTGTCAGATTAAAAGAAAATTCTGCCAAGAATTGTTACATGTTCTCAAACCTAAATTCCACATTCCAGTGTTGTCAACAAGATCACTCAGAACAGCTATGCAATTTCTTACTCACAGCATGTTCCAGGACTTCTTCCAGGATATGTTCTTGGCAAAATTCAACAATGATCCCCTCTTCATCCTCATCGTCGTCATCATCATCGTCCTCATCATCTTCGTCTTCGTCTTCCTCTTCATCTTCTTCTTCCTGGCTGTCCAACCCCTCTAGACGCACTGTCACACTTGACTGCAGACCTTGACCTGAAATAATAGTTGGTCGTCACACATTTTCATACATTCCTATGTGGGAAGTTCTGAAAACACAACCTCCTTCTGAAGCCTATGAGTCTGGACAGGAAGCGTGAAAATATTTTATTACCTTTAGGTTTAACAAAACACATCACATACTTTGGTAGGAGAATGTATAGCTGATCATTTATAGCATATGTGAATGCTACTCTAATGAAAATTTGCATAAACTCTTCTTTCTCCATATTAGTATTAAGTTTAACTACACCCTTTTTACAGCAAATACTTTAATTCTAACAGCACATTCCAAGTATATACACATAACCAAACAACAGCATACAATACATCATATTACTGTGGCAAAGATATCTCCAATAGGCAACAAACCATGATGGAGGCCTGACTCCCCACATTCACAAATCTCCGACATCAGATATAATCGACAGAAAATACATGGGGGAAAATCAATATTCAAACTGTACAATGTCAAACCTAAGACTTTTGGCACCATGTTTCTGGTGCCTTACCATTATGTCGATTCCTCAGGAATTAAAGAATAAAGGTGAAAATTAGGTGGCAGAAAATTAATATCTTATCTTTCACATAAAGCAATCACACAAATTTTCAGACTTCCAACATGACATACTGCAAAAGACTTGACATCCACAATGAAATGGATTTACAGTCACCGAGGATCTACATGGTCATCTAACCAAATAAGCGACATGGTAGAATGTACATGGAGGAGATTACAGGGCCTCAAGAAAAAAAATACCTTCATTAATATGCCTCATACCTTGGTTGCGAGTAAGAGTGGATGTCTGGGATGAGATAACAGTAGACTCATCTGAACTTTCTTCTTTAATAGATGTCACTTGCTTGTTGAAGACAGACACCTCATTCTCTCGTTCGTCGCGAATCTTTCCCTCATCTCTATTGTTCACCATGGGATGAGGCTCTTTTCCTATGTCACTGTTCCCTATTGACAGCTGTGTGAGTGGCAGTGCATCTGAGTTTGTACGTGTTACATCAGAAGGTGGCTGCATGAACCGGAAGCTCAAAATATTATACCACTTGACAGATACACTTTCAGGGCTGAAGTCTGCTAAACTCACTTGGGCACAACCCTGAAACATAACAGTACATCATTCTGTATTAACCTTTTTATGACAAATCACAGGATTAAACATTTTCAGAGTTTGTTTCAATGGCTGCAATTGGACAGAAGTAAACAGTTTCCTAAGAGCAATTCGCAGTACTAGAGAGGTACTTAATACTCTCTTTGCCATATCCCTGTACAGGCATTCTACCTACTGACTCAGCCATTTTTTCCAAAAACCGAATTACAAACTTACATCTGAAACAGAAATGTAAAGGGGCAAGTGAAAATAACAACAAATTATACGCTGCAACTCTTAAAGCCTCAACAATCTACACTGAAAGTTTCTCTGCATTTTAACATCTGTAGGAGACAGTGACCTATGCATACACAGTTGCAAGAGCCCATCATCTGACAGGACGAGCACAAGGTAAGCTACAACCTGTCTGCTGACAGGCCTGGCAACAAATGTCTATCACTCAGCCATTAAATGTAAGAAACCTGTAACCTCTGACCACATGACCACAATAAATTTGAAAACGTGCTAGTAAATATACAATAAGCTGTAAAACTAAAAATATTACATGCATGATGTGAATTTGATGTATGTTTACGTAGCTACCAGTTGCAATTGCAATAAAAGAAAGAACACTGATAACTAATTAGAAATATTAATTTTTACTATATCTGCTCTTCCTGAAGTTATACCCAAGTACATTCTTTACAAATTACTATTCTGGTGAGCATTAGGTAGGTTAGGTTAGGTTTGTATTATGTCTGGAAGATGTAATAGAAACTCAAAATGCCTTGATATTACAAAACTATGTACATTACAAGAGTTTGTGTCAGGTCTTGTTCTTCTTTCGCCAGAATATATTTCTTAGATTTTACTACTCTGGGTGGATCCTAATGATGGTTGAAGGATATAGCCTTATTTCATGCCATCTTTCATACAAGTTATCCACAAAAACCTAGGTCTTTTGACACATACTTCAGGAGTTTTCACTGAATGCTGTTCTGTAACTTGCTGATTACATTAATAAACCCGAAGTCTGAATTTCTGGAGACGGAGATGATTATGCTGCATGTCATGACGTGTGTTATGAGCACACTGTCTTAGGATTAGTTGATAAAAATCAATAAAGACAAAAATCAATTAAAGACCCAAATCAAAGTTCAAGTTCAAATATTTGGGAGTTTGTACATCCTGTTACTACCAGCACAGTACAAAATGCAGACAAAATTATCACTGCACATCCTTTCTGAATCAAATAAATTTTACCAGACTATTTGTTAACTACAATTGAATCAGTTCATCATGAAGTGCTGTGCTTCATACTGAATACAGAAACTCACCACACAATCTTCCCGCTGGCTTGGGTCAATACACCAAACATTGACTTGAAGAGTTTTCGTATACAATTTGCCAAGAGGGACAGCAAGAGGGAAGTTGTCACCAAATGTTGGCTTGCGGAGATCCTCCACGGGTTTGGTGCAGCACGCTATATTGGTGGGCGGAGGACTTGGCAACAGAGCTGTCTTGATGTATCTAATTGTTGAAGTTCAAAATTAGAAACATATTTACCTGCATACACATACAATAATACCAATGGCATCACCAGGCATCAAATGTAACGAGTGAATTATGTTGCAGCAGAGCACACGTCAATACAAAACAGTCAGCGAAACCACCAGTAACTAGCAAATTCCATGAGGTTCACAATTAAAATGAAATTATAGCTATCCCAGAACAGATAGAATTATTTTCCATTATTAAAAAAAATAATTAGAGAATCTTACAAGATTGTTTGAGCACAACAGATGAAGTATTCTCCATACGTTCTGTTATGTGCTAAACATAGTATACACAATCCCTTATAGGCACTAATACTGAGAAACCAAAATGCAGCACATATGCATTTAAAAAAAATCGCTAAACACATACATTATACTAAGTCACAACTAAATACTCACACTTTGCAATTGTTTGGGATGAATAATGCTCCAAGATTACGTGCTCGTTCAATCCCAATGTGCAGCAAACTGTCACCCACAGAGTACCTGATATAACCAAACGAACATGGGCATCAAATATAAAGCAATGACTTTCTTTCTAATTACAACTCTCCATACAGCACAGCAACTGATAATTAAAATACTGCCTTGACTGGGAACAAATTTAACACGTCTGTGGCTACTGACCTTGGCACAAAGTTTCATATAATATGAAATGATTTGACAAAACATTAATTTGAAATCTTGTAAAATTAGTCTGAGTATTTCATAACTTCAAATCCATTTAAAACTCTTAGTGTAGAAACATATTTACCATACATCTTCAACCCTTTCTGTCCTCAAGTGTTTTGAATAATTTAGAATAAAGATGTGTCAAAAAGTTTTGGTGTGACATGTTTATGTCAGAAGCATACCTGAGCTTAATCTGAACTTGTGCTGTTTCTAGATTCATATCCTCAGCTACATTATCATTTGCTAGGGACGACCGCTTCTTATTAGATGCCTCGAACACTCCCGAATCCCCAGCGACTGATTCATCACTTACAGCTGCAGACACTGATCTTGTATTTGTTCCCGATGAAGATGGTGTAGACAACGCTGCAACCTACAATAATTATTATCCCTTACACACCTGCCACCATTTCAGGAGTAACAAGGTTAATATTCTACGTGCACAGACCATCAACGTGTGACTGCCATGTTCTGTTGCATGAATGCTTCAAAGTCAGTCTTGTGTTAGGCAATAAAAACTAGTCACAGATGAAGTATCATAACTGCTTAGTATAAGGTCTCACATTCTCATTCAGTGTTACATCAGAAATGACAGGAAGATCACAAACAGTGAGGTAGTAAAGGCATAAAAGTGTTGCAAGTATTTTCCTGGAGGGAATAAGAAATCCTCTTTCAAGACGATAACTGATATAATGATACAAATTCCGTCCCAAGTGCAAACAATATATTATGTGTCCTTGATCTTGTTCACCTACACTACATGTTTCGCCCTCAAACGGCCATCATCAGGTGTATAACACTCACGTCGCTGTCACACTGCACTCAGCCCAAAATTTAACATTTAAAACACTTTTCTTGTTATTATCAACATCTACTTTGTTGATATCTGTCTGGATGTAGATTATTTTACACACGTTAATTTTGACGTACCTGTAGTAGCACTATAAAATCTTTAGTTCTAATTTTAAAATCTTTTAAAATTTTTTCTCTAAATTTTAAATTTAGTAGTAAAGAAGTAAAGTAGTAAAGAATAACAGCGGCACGCACACGGGAAGACTACACAGGATAACACCTATACAGTGTGGAAACAAGAACTAGCCGCTGCAGCACTTTAGACATAGGGCGAGTAACCCTAACAATTTTAAATTTAAAATTTAGAGAAAAAATTTTAAAAGATTTTAAAATTAGAACTAAAGATTTTATAGTGCTACTACAGGTACGTCAAAATTAACGTGTGTAAAATAATCTACATCCAGACAGATATCAACAAAGTAGATGTTGATAATAACAAGAAAAGTGTTTTAAATGTTAAATTTTGGGCTGAGTGCAGTGTGACAGCGACGTGAGTGTTATACACCTGATGATGGCCGTCTGAGGCCGAAACATGTAGTGTAGGTGAACAAGATCAAGGACACATAATACATTGTTTGCACTTGGGACGGAATTTGTATCATTATATCATTTATCGTATGGAGTGCAACAGGATGCTTAAATATAATATTGTAAACTCTTTCAAGACAGTTGATTTTCCTGGCTAAAGTCTGAACATTTATCCACATGTAAGTGTGTGACTAACCTGAAGAAGTTCCACGGCATCATCCAGCACAGGAGGTGGGGTTTCTGAAATAGGCGAGAGAGGAGGATCAGCCACTGTTGGCCTGCCAAGGCCTGAGCCTTGTGACATGTTGCCTCCCCTCATTAGTTCCAAGTAATCTGCCAGTGCAATGTTTGGAGGAAGTGCTCGCTGACTCCTAACACCACTAGCACCCCCTAACACTATATAGTCATGCTGCTGTAACTGAGCAGCAATGTGTTGCTGACTTAACCTCAGTTCTGCCAACCGATCCTCTAACTGTATTCTGTCTAAACAATGTGGCTGTTGTATCGTACTTGATGCTGCTAAATGCTGTTGTCTTCTCTGTCGTTCAACTTGATCATACGCAGGTGGTGGTCCGGCTATTCCTGAGGATGTTGCCAACAAAGCTGGGTCATACAAGGGGGATACTGGAGGTGAAACGGAAGAGAGAGATGAACGAGGGGAAAGTGATGGCAGGGAACGGCCAGAAGATGGAGAGGGAAGAAGATTCGAAGATTCACTGCTGCCAGTTCGTAGCAAGCGTTCGACACGGCGATGCAGATCAATCATATCGACAGGTTTCTCTGCAGTGACGGAGATATTGCTAAGCCCAAGACACTGTGGTCCGCCATAGATGTCGGTGAAACTTAGTCCTGAACTAAGTGACCCTTTGCTGCTAGCTGTAGATAAGGATCCCAAGCTTGAACTTGAGCTCACTGACAGAGTACTTGCTGACAAAGTCTTCAGCTGGGATTCCAACTGTGTCATTGAGCGAAGAGCATCACGTAGCTGCTGAAGTAACAACTGCTTCTCTTCATGAAGCCTCAGCCTGGAAGTCACATGAATAGTGAGTGTCTTACAGTGCTACATTCATACTTGCATTTATGAGGACAAAAATTATATATTTACCTGTCTGTGATTGCTCGATTAGACATCTCAAGAGCATTGTTAAGATCTTGTTCCAACCTTCTGATTTCCTGCTGAATTTCTTGCATTTCCTGTTGGCTCCGGGTCCTTGGAGTGATGCTACGAAGCTCTCGCAACAGCTGTTCCTTTTCTTGAAACAGGAGGAGCCTGAGCATAACAAGACAAAATACATACTGTATTCAGTTGCTCACAAGCAAATGTCAAAGTAAAAGAAGGCTAAATTTTCAAATTAATTCTGATATAAATTCAAAATCTGGACACAAAAACTGTCCATCACATCACAGTTCTGCGTACTGAATCTGAACCAAAAAAAAAAGTGTATTTTCTTTTTCACCTTTGTATTTCTCATTAGCACTCATATATAATTCTTGTTAGCTACATAGGGAGAAAATGTTTTACTGCTGAATACAAGTTCACTCTCACTTAAATGTCAATTATTCCAAACAGTGTAATAAGTGGCATGTACCTTCACATGTCTTACATAAAAATACCACAGGATGATAAAAAAAAGACCCTGTGTTACAACTTTTTGGCTGCTGCTGTTTTAATCGGCATATCAAATTCAGTCAAAAATAGCTTATGTGAGATGTGGGGTTCTCACAGCAATGACAGAAGATTCAAGTATCTCCTGGGGTGAGGTAAACTTCTGCCACACTGCACAACAATACATCCCTGAAGACGTCAAAAACAGCTTATTTCCCACATTACTAAAAGAAGTGAAAATCTGTTGTTTTGTAATTATATTAACCTGTTTTAACAGATGATATTCTGGTCAATCACACACGAGAGGAAGTGTTTCACAGTTATAAAGGTCGACTGTTCACCAATTTTACCAGTGGTGGTGGTGTTCACTTAATATTATCCTGTGTTGTACTCATTTATATCTACCAACTATTTAACTTACCTGTCTTTATCTGACTCAGCTTGCCCTGGGGTTACTTTCTCTTCCAAGTCCGCCAACTGTTGTTGGATCATCTGAATTTGTTTCCTTGCTTCATCATACTGAAGCCTCATCCGAGCCATCTCTGCTAGCCGTGTGCCAATTGGAACAAGCTGAAATAAAATATTTCAAATTACATATGGTAAAGAAAAACAATTGATTTCAATAAGAATGTATGTATCCACAGATAAAAGCTTACCTCGCCTGAAAGGTCAGTCTGTGATGCTGTACTGAGCTTCTCCTGTGGAAGACTGAGTGTGGAGACATCTGGCGAGCTCTCACACAACTGCAACCTCGTCAGATCATCTTTGAGTTTTGCTAGGGACTGCATTAATTCGGCTTTCTCCTTCTCACCTGATGACAGGGACTTCTGAATGTTACGAAGCTCAGTCATAATTGCCTGGGCTTCTGTGATGTTGTAGCACCCGCCTTGGTGTGCACTAAGCTTCTGTTCCACCCTGTATATAATTTGTGACATTACATATTGTATATAAGAATATGAATGGCAATGTGTATATTATTACCTTGCATTAACATATTAATGTACTGCTTAAAAACTCAACACAAATATAAAAAAACCTTTTTTCAAATGTAATTTCGAAGGTAATGTAAACATGTAAAAATAAAATTTATATTTACAATTCAATTACAACTATTTTCAAGCTATTCTGCCCATGGGATTATCTCAGTAGTATATAAATTACTTTTGTTGTAACCAACTGTGGCTTGAACCTCAGTTACTCCCATCTTCAGAGGTCTATGCAATTACTGCACACAAACATAAAACACATCACACATGCCACAAAGAAAAAGAAAGGACTTGCTTCATGAGAGCTGCAGAATGCGCCTATATGGATCATAAAAGAAATTAAGGAATCATAATACAACTATAAATTCCACACATAACACAAAAGAATACAGAAGAAAATGGAAGGATAAACTCTTTAACAGAATTCCAAAAAGAGAGCTTAAATTATCAATGAAAAGAAAAAATGTTTGAGGAGACCTCTGAAAAAATGGAAGAATTCTGTAACAAGTCTCAATATGTCTAACACTAAAAGGTTACGATGAAATGGAAGATGCACGTCTTAACGCTTTACAACATACAACAACCCAATTTTTCTAGCTGACATCCTACAATCAGCTCAAGTTTCCATCATACACACACCTTAAGATTGAAATGAGTCAACTTTATATGAACTCTCCAAATTAAGGACGAGTTACGATGTGATATATAAATTGTTAACATTTGTGTTTAGTTCACTGCAAAATCTCCACTCAAATAACACAAAAGCGTGACAATACTCACGATGCAAGTGTATCAACACCGCGTTGCGTGCAGCTCATCTCAGCTCGAATTTGCTCCAGCTCTTGTTTGAGCCGAGATACCCGATTCCGAGCCAAAGCCACGTCTGATTTGAGCAGATCTGGATCATACTTGGTACTTACACTGCTTGAGCTTGAACACACTAAAATGCACAAGAAATCAAATTTCACTCTTGACTCGGTAAGAAAATGATCCAACCCATGTCAGATGAACTACTTTTGCATTCCAAAATGAATACATGTGTTACAAAACATGACATTTTAAAACAACCAAAAAATCTTCCTTATTTATATTTCACTTTTGTAGAGCATGGTATTCTGAGATGTTACACCATGTAGTACTGTGGATGGTTATGAACACTTCAGAGGAACCCATTACCTTTGCCTTCATGTCCATCCTGAGGCCAGAATCAACATGTTCCTCTGAAATACTACTAACCACATAGAGTACTACGAAGTCCAGAAGACAACCTACAATTTCATATTCATGAAAACCCCAAACATGGTTGCAGGAACTCAACATGTTGTTGCTGACTAACAATGATTACAAGAAGTTAAAGTAATTTATTACATAACATAACGTTTTAGCTGAAAACTCATCTAATGCCACCCTTTGAGGTGTGCATTAGCTCTGGCCATGCAGCACATTATCACATCCTCGGTCTTTAAGTTCTGGGGCTTCCTCTCTGACCCAGCGCTCGGCTGGTTACAGAGTAAAGGAAGTTAGCTTATTTATGCCTTTTGCAAATTTCTGTGTTGAAGTCTACTGATACGCATGACAAAGGTTTGAAAAGAGAGATACGAAAGCTTGCACAGCCAGCCATTTTCATATCTAGCTCTCTCTTCTGCAGACCATAAATTCTCAATGTGACCTGCAATCAACATTAGAAAACTGTGTTGCATGAAGCAGAATTTTCAGCTTAATACTGTAATAACAAATGTTGAAAATTTCTTTTATGATGTACTTACAACTTGTCCTCGAAGTGTTGAGTGTCGTGAGCGCATTGTGAAGGTGATTGTACTCATCCTGAGCCAAGTATAATCTCTGCTGCTTTACATCATATATTTCTTTCTTTGCCTGTAACAAAGAGAATGGAAGATACACAATATTGTATTCTGAAGACTGGGGTGGCAGGTTCCTTCAAAATGTTGGTAATCACCATAACGTCTGCACACGCGAAGTTAACACCATATGCAGCTTGTGGGAACAACGGAGAAGCTAAGGGTAAAACTGCAGACAAAACATAACCGGCTTGCATATGGAAAGGGTGAGCCACTGCAATGTAAGCAACCGAAGAAGGGTATATTGCTTAGACAAGTGGACAATGCCCCTTATGAGGTGGAATTAGGAGTTTTCTATAATTAAAAATTTTAACAATTTTCAATTAATTTTAAATGGAGTGAACTGTAACACATTAAGATTTTAATGCACAAGAGCCGAATGCAATGGTAACATTTTAATTATGAAATTTTCAGTTATGTGCATGTGGAATGGACAATACTCAGTGCAGTGTAGCAGGTGTGGCATAATGGGACACCTGAGGATGGCTCTTTGGGCCCAAAACATGTTGTGTTAATAGCAAAAGCAAATGCAAATGAAGAAACTACTGCATTATTGAAAGAAAATTGTATGTAAACAAGGTTGGTAATCACCTGCAAGACTAGAGTGTCATAACCTAGAAGACCACATTATTATTATTATTATTATTATTATTATTATTATTATTATTGTTGTTGTTGTTGTTTCTGTAATTACTTGTATCTACACTGTGCTCTGTCTGTAACTGGTCTTGTAGCTGTTGACTCAGCACTTAAATAATAAAGAATTGAATTAATATCATCATCATGGTTGTCCTTATTATTATTATTGGTGGTGGTGTTGTTGTTGTTGTTGTTGTTGTTGTTGTTGTTGTTGTTTCTCTACTGGCTCTACATTCCCTGTGTGTCTTGGCCTCCTCCATGGTTCTCTCCCATAAGCTCTGGAGGTTTCATCAGAAGATTTTTATGGGGTGGGGTTGTTAGCCCCATGCCTTCTAACTTTTCGCTCGTGTGAAAACCTCAAATCCCATAAAGACATATGTAAAGTTATATGATGAAAATATAATAAAATGAAAATAAACTTGAAGTGTATGAAATTTTTAATTTCTCATGGCAGTAAAGATTCACGCCACAGACTTCTGGGCTATGGCACTGCAGTCTGGTATAGTCACATCAGTTTTAGTGGAACAAACCATGGGCATGTGAACAGAAACAAGCACCCATATACGGAAATTCACATACTGAAATGATCATTGATATAGTTAAATGCAGCTTAATAATCCACTACTGATCTATCTGTGCTGTAAATCAAAGTAACTTATGACCTAATTGAAGTGTATTTTTCACATAAAACATTCAAGAAAATTACTCTGCCACTCAGTAACGAACTTTATCATAACTATGTTCATGTAACAAAATACCATCTTCTGCAGTCAAGTCATATTCAGAATGTGGCTTGATCAAATCTTGGCTGAAGACACTGACTACCCTGATTTTCTTAAGGCTCTTCCTCAGGCATCCGAGGCATATGCCAGAACAGTACCTCCATTAGGCCATGATCACAGACTTCCAAATCCTTTCCAATTCATCATTCATCAACCACCCTACCACTCAACACTGTACAATCTACATATTGACAGAATTTGCCCACAAAGTAAAACTAAGACATAAATGATGAAAGTAACATATGCTTCAATCGCCAAATAACTAGAACTGCTTATGGTAAATGGGACTATCTACAGAGTCAGGACAGCTCTATCAGTACAGCAGGTGACAGGAATGTAAGACAGGGTTCAACTCCCAGTGGCAGCAAGAATTTCTCTCTTCACCACTATGTTCAGACCTAGTATTCTATGCCTTTACAAGGAAAAAGAGGAAGAGTGTCTGGTTGATCTTTCACTTCATCTGGCTGAGGTAGAGCTAGGCCTTGACTCCCCCAATCATCATCATGGCCTTGTGTTTAATCTCAGGGACAAATATGCTTTTAAACTGAACAATCTATGCTCTCAAATTAAGATATGTGATAAGTACATCTTTACATTACTGAATGATGCTTATGCTACGTAATTTTATTATTTTTCACAAAAAATGGGCATTTGGGAAATAAAACATGTGCAGAAATACACAGCACAGAATTTCAAAACCTGAATAAAGTGTTCACAGCTCAGGAATTACTTTATACCACACACTGGTCAATTAGTCTGTCCCAACATTTGGGAAAATAATCAGTTAGGGCTGAATTCAGATTGTGGTTGCCTGAGTTGTGACACCATGCAATCTCATAGGCCGATAGCGACGTTTCAGAGGAACATCCTGCCTATATCTTCAAGGGTCAAAGTGTGTAACACCGTGCAGTTTTGTAGGTGGATAACGTTTCAGACAAAAATTTCTGCCTCCATATTCAAGGTCGACATGCCTGACATCATGTAGTCCTGTAGGCAGATACTGTCGAATCGTCTTCTATGCTGTAGATGGTGGCTTATGTTACTCCGAAACGTCAGTATCCACATACAAGACTACACGGCGTCACAATTTACAAAACCATAATCTGAACAATCACCACCTTCAGACCTCAAAACTTGTATTAGTTCCGGAATCATTTCAAATGTTATGTTAACAAAATGAGCCACGTGTTTCAGACATGCTTTGAGAAAACTGGATAACAGCTTTGTGTACCACTGAGAGAGCTGCTACTGGCTTGAAATCATACTGTAGCAGAGGTGTAAAAAACAGAGAATCTAGGTATGCAATTCATGTAAACGCTTTGTGTCAAATAACTGTATCCACGAAATCGTATCCTAGTCAAGGAATACTTCCAAAATATGTAGACTAACACATGTGATTGTAACGTCGCGATAAGATATGGCACGTGGAACTCATAAAACATTTGACTGGAGCTTACGCGAGGCTTAAGATTTAATTCTTAAACGAACACACACTCCACCGACTACAGCCCACCTTGAGAAACTCGTTCGGAAATTCCCCTTATTTTACAGAACTCAAAGGTTCATATGACTTGCGTTCATAAAAACCTGTCATTAATTCCTGCTCTGAATCAGATAATCCAGTCTACGCCGTTTCTTAAATATCCATTTTAATATTATCATTCCATATACGCGCCTAAGTGAAATGGTCCTCGAACTACAAAGTTGTGTGCATTTCTCATCTCCTCCACACGCCTTCCACATAATTAAAACAACACAAAAATCAAATTTTCAAATCCAGTCATGTCTGGGACACTGACTATCCTGCATGGGGTCTTTTGTGGTCCCTCTATACAAATGTCGGGAAAGCATCATGACCGCTTCCACATAATTTCAAATTCATTATTATCACATTCATCGGACACCAGAATAACTTCGTTAAATAAACTACAAGCATCCCAACTCCTTATAGCTAATTGCATGATTTTAATTTAGAACTGTAACAATATATGCTCACAACTTCGAAATTCTGCAACAGTTCGTTGTTATGACACATTCTGGTGGGAGAGTACGTAGTCAACTCAGCATTGTCTTCTGGCTGATAGCCGTGGCGAGGATAGGCGACGTAATACACAGAGTGATACGTTGGGATACCGAAGACATATCCGGACGGTGGTCTAGCTGTAGTCCCGCATGCGGGCAACTCCATCCTCACAGGGTCCTGGCAGGCCACACCGAACATCAACATCTCTCGCACGCCACATGCGTCCCTCGCTGGGCAGCCACGGACTCGAACTGTCTGCAGGCTGCTTCACTCGCCCGAGCTTCGGGGGGTTGGACCTTCCTAATGGGTTCCCGCCTCTGGTTCCTCAGGATGGAATTTGGGGGGGCTCTGTGCAAGCTATCTGAAGACGCTGCAAGGCTTTTCAGAAGCATCGCTCTTCATAATACTATATCGATCTAGCTGGGAGAGGGGTTTCGGTGGGGAGAGGGAACAAAGGCCCAAATATAATTTCAGAGAGGGGCGAAGAAAGGTGCAGTCGATGTGGGTGTCGGAAGAATATGGGCTGTATTTTACTAGATAATTGGTAAACATTTAAATAAAATGAAGACTACTGTATTCTGGAGTATGACACCGTGTAGTATGATAGTTTACCAAGGAACATCGGTAAATTTCTACCAGACTGCAAGGTGTCATACCCCAGGCAACAGTGAGATCCCCGCATCTCGCATTTTATTCTACCTATTCTACTATATGGTTCAAATTCATCGACCCTTGTGAAATAAAGATGAAATTAAGATTAAATTCTAACTCCATGGGGCTGAGCCCTTCTTCAGAAGCAGTCAGTCTCTCATATATTCAACGATTTCCCAGCACTTTATGGAAATAGAAGGATCATTACCGAGTTCACACTAGTCCCTATCCTGAGCCACATCAATCCAGTCCATACCACCCAATCATATCTCGCTAACATCACGTTTCATGTACCAAATCTCACATCCATTTTCCCGACCTCACATACGATAAAATTATGTTTATTGGGTTCTCATGTTCTCGTGGCTGTGACTGTCTTCTCAGATGTGACGCCATAACCCAGAAGAAATTCACTGACATTCCGAAGCAACGTACTGCCTCCATCTTCAAGGTTGAAGATGTTAAGAAAGCAACGAACAAGAAGATGCTGCAGAGTGGCCCTACTTTGTTGCTTGTTTCTTGATCCTTATTTCCTTAGCATACCTCCCATCTTGACGATGGAGGCAGTAAATTCTTGCGTAACGTCGGTGAACTACCGGACTACACGGCGTCGCACACAAAAACACAGTACTTCAAATTTATTCTCGGTCCCTACCGAACCAAATTAACCTACACTTCATATTACGCTCAATTGCACTTTACAGATTATAAGATTTAAACTGCTCATAGCGATATCAGAATTACGGACTTCTGGGGTCTCTGGTGGGCACAGACGTTTCGGAGCAACCTGCTGCTTCCACCCTGTGAGCAGAAGAGCCTTCCTCCCATCTACGCCTGGGATTATCAAATTGTATCTTCGGATTTTTCGACTGAAACAGTGAATATCTTTCACGTCCTCGTGCATGCTATTTGTCTCGCCCA